CCCCAAAACCCCAAAACCCCAAAACCCCATCAAGAATAATAATATACTAAATAATCTATTAAAAATTTACAATTAAACCAAATAATATTGTCAATCCCTCAAAAAAAAGCTTGTAAAATAAATCCATATATATTCTCATTAAAAATCAGAATTGTTAGATTACTAACTAAAACTCTCCTCATCTATCTAAGGCATATCAACAGATTTACCTTTTTTAATGTTGTGCCTTTTCACTGGGGGATTAAATATCTCGTGAATTTAATGGATAGTATTCTAAGCATTTTTAATTATTTCTATTGAGTTTTATTGTTCATTAATTGATGATATCAATTGATCACCTCTTCTATTACTTGAAAAGTTTTATCCCTTTTTGAGTTAGCTTGAAAAAATTGATCTAGTTTGCTAAAATCTAGAATTTTAGGGTCTCTTATTTTAATTGGATTTGTATATTCCATTCCTTTAAAGGATGAATTTCTCTTTCTTATGCGTTTTTATAGTTTAATCTGATTAAAATATCTAGATATTAGCCTAAGTTGTTTATTCATCATTAAGCTGAAGCTTAACTTTTCCCAATTATTCTCCACAATATTCTGATGATCCAAACTCTTCAATCATTATACTATCTCAATTACTAGCTTTAGATTCTACAATCACTGAAAATTAGCTAAAAGTAGGATCAAGATCTTCCATATCAACATCTTGCTGATTATTTCTGTCATTTTGAATTTCAAATTGATAGTCACTTTAAACATTTTAAAGAGCTTCTTAGATTTCTACATCACAAATTAAGTCTTTATTGGCGAAAAGATCCTAACAAGTATCTAAACTATTGGTTTACAAATATTTCTGTTTAAGCTGTTAAAACATTCTTTAATAGCATGGATAGTTAGAGAAATCGATTTTCACAATTTTAGAATTAGAAAAGTATTCATGCCTATTGATAACATCCATATTTTGATGTTTCTCTAGAGATTGTTGGTTTTAATCAGATTATATCATTGTGTTATTTTGAATAATTTTAGCGCTAGGTTGAAATGAGAGCAGAGTTTACATAGATAATTAATAGTATATGTGCTTTGATTATTTAAATTATTAAGACTAAATTTTTAATACAAAAATACAATCAGAATTCTAAGCCGGGGTTTTGGGGTTTTGGGG